TCACATTATCATATCAGGATGCAGTTCATGATATATTGTATGGATAAGATGTTTTTTGAATTGTTTTTATTTATGTATTACTGTAAAATTATATTTGAAAAACTTGTTTTTAAAAAATAGGACAATCCAACACACTGGTAAAATTAACACATGAAACTGAAGCATCTGCTTCAATATTTGAGCAGAAGAAGAACCCATGCTGGATGAAATCAAACTGCCATGAATTAATTAAAGATCCCACAGGGAAGCATAACAGGATGCAGCCCATGAACATTATACAGATCACAGTATCAAAGTATATGTGATGATTTGGATCGTTCATAGCAATACTGGCGGAACCAGAGGTTGGAGTTTGAGGGAGCAAAACTAATGATCAGGAAAAAAAAAAAAAATTAAGGGGCCGGGCAACCTTACATTTTTGTAGAAGATTTCAGTGTAGAGTCTAATATTTACAGGTATATAAGTGAAAACTTTTAACTTTTAAGCTAACATAAATGATCTCGGCAATTTTGGGAGGAACAAAATTTAATTTTTACAGGGATATAAAAGATAACTATTAATTTTTAAGGGAATATATAGGAATATATTTCTGGAGTCTCCGGGGCAGCTGCCTGTCACTCCCCCGCCCCTTAATTTGTTTCTGCTAGTGATCACTAATTATTATTCCATTAGCATACGTGGAGATGAATAAACTACAAAGCATGCTTATCATAATAAAACTCGAGAGATCATCACGGTTTTAGATTTTGTACGGCTTATAAATATTTAAATTGGCAAATCTGATACGAATATCGCAATGACAATGACCACAGGCGTAATCACAAAACTCCTAACGCAATACGACAAGTTCGTGACACATTGTATTGTGAGCAAATATTTTAAAGTATCGAGTAGTTTAACTTCGCGATCGACATTCAACTTTACTTAATGAGCCTTTTCAGTAGATGTTCGATGATGGGAGGTGTTTAGCGAATGTAATTTACATTTAGGTTCTCATTTAAAGGTATTCATTTGTATTTTTCGTTTCGTTGCATTCGGACATTATTCAAACTTATTAATCCAGTGTTGATATTCAGCAATTATCAGATTAACGTAACTCGATTAGATGATGAATAAATCTAGAAATGGATGATTTTACACAGTGTTTGTTTGTTAATAGCATAACGAATGATTGCAGTCAAAATTGTATTTTTAACTAGACTTATGTGAACCATGAGATTTCTCTCATGTAAATTTTTATAAAGATATGTAAAAGTCTAATATTAAGGAATATTAACTAAAAAGATACTTGTTTGTACTTCCCCTTTCTTTGTATTTAATTTGACTTAATTATTACGTTGACTTTGTTCTTGCTTCTTATTAACCAGAAATAAGAGTGAGCTGCTTTAACGAACTAGTAATAAATTAGTAGAAGGTCAAAGTCCAAGTATTTGCTTTGAAGTTGTATTAATTGAGAAGAAGGTCATACTTATAAAGAAGCAAAATTAGACGGTCAAAGTTAAAGTATATGGGACACGTGCCAGAACGCGCATATGCGACGATTGCGCGTGCCTGTTGTGAGGTGCACACACGGTCAGGAGAGCTTTTTTTTTTCTTTTTTTTTTTTCCAGAAATTTAGAAATAAGCAGTTAAACCTAACTCCCAAGTCAGGAGTTCTGAATTTCTGCACATACGGTAGGGCTGCAAATGAGCCGAGTCGAGTCGAGTCGAGTTTTGGCCTAATCGAGTGGAGTCTCGACATAATTTCATTGAACTCGAACTCGAACTCGACGAGTTCACAATTTCAAACTCGAGCTCGACTCGACTTGATTCGAGCCGAACTCGAAAAAAATAAAAAATAATTATTTTATTTTTTAAAAATAAATAAAATAAATAATAAAATATTAAAGGATATATATGTAATTTTATTATTAAAATTAAAAAATATATAAAATATATATACTTAAAATAAAAAAAATAAAAATATATATTCTTAAAATAAAAATAAAAAAAAAATATATATATATACTCGAATTCGCGAGCCGGCCCGCAAGCTAACGAGCTTAATATTTTGAACTCGAGCCGCTCGCGAGCGGTTCGATTCGTTTGCAGCCTTAACATACGGCCAGGAGAGCTTTAACTATCTGAATTTCTGCTCTAATTATACGGCCATGAGAGCTTAACTATCTGAATTTCTGCTCTAATTCTTACTTCAAGTTCCACTTGCCAGAGGAGCATGTTACTTGGACGCTCCATCCCCTCCTTAACTCTCCATCATTCTTCTTTTTTTTTTTTTTTTTTGATAATTCCTTCATAATTCCTGTTATATGATCCATTACTCACATTTTGAGGGTTACAATCAAATCGAGTTATATATTTCTCAAGGTCACCGTCAAAATACTAGCTTTGCTTGAGATGTAGTACAAGATTCAAGATAAAAGAATTACACCATTTAAATAAAAGACAATTTTTTCAATTGGTGCAACGCTCAGAATCCAATGAAAATCCTTTCAATTATGAGGGGAATTGATCTAATGTTATCTAGTTAATTAAGAAGATTTGTAAATTGACTAAAAAGTATACTAGCAAAATCAATGCTTTTGACAGACATTATCTAATTAGCTAGCCAAGAACAATTTTCTCATTGATAGACTTGAATATTATATATTTTATTCATACTGTGAAACTTGCATTTTATTAATTTTGAACATCATTATGTATAATTCTTTCTACAGTGTTGTTCGCTAGTACAAATTTTGTCAAAGAATCCATATATAACTCAAATACATATTTTCAACATTACTTACAAAAATCTTATCATTTATATTCCTATTTTCCCTTGTTGCTTTTGCTTTTCCCAAATTGTCAATTTTATTTTTGTTCACAAGGATATTCTCGTTCAGACACGCATTATCTGAAACAATTAGTCTTGTTTTGTAAATAAAAATAGAAGAAATTAATGATTACCTCCTCTGTAATAACAAATATCCTAAAAATGAAATGCTATTGATTTTAAACTTTTCTAATTAATCACTCATTTAAAATCTCTGGTCTCTTGTGCTTGTTCAAATAATAAACCAAACAATTTACAGAAAATTAGTGAAATGGCATCAATCTAAATTATATTACCTGTGTTTATCAAGTTAGCATAAAATTTATGTTTAGCTCTTTTATCACCTCCATTTCTTTTTGTTCTTTTTCCATCCTTATTTTAAAAGAGAAAGTTCACATCTTCATAATGAACAAAATATTAACATTAATTATCAAATGTTTACTATTTCTTGTCCATATAATTTTGAAGAAACAGTTGAGTGAAATGTTAAAATTGTCATATTGATCCTATTCTGATAATCCCGTTTTCTTCCGTATAATTTGTGTTTCCCCAAAGGAAGGTGGAAAACGGAAATGACTGGAGCGTGTCTGCACGGCTTAGATTAAAACAGTGGGGAACTTTCACCGCAAAACTAAATGCAGTGGACATTGATGTGGCATGAATCCATTGGTGCAGGCGTGCCCATCTTTCTTTAATCCCTCCCAGTGCTACTCCTATGTCCCACCAGAGCAAAATACTGCCAAACAGAATGCTGACAAGTTCAGAGCGGCTGGGAAATGGTATGTGGTCATTTCATTTGTTTTTTTTTGTTGGGCACAAAAGAATTTGCCACGCTTTTACTTGACAACTCAAAATGTAAACGACGAGAGAATTTGAAGATTGAAAATCAACGAGCTTATACAAAAAAAAAAAAAAAGTGTGTACTAACCTTCTAATCTATTGAATGATTTCTTTTCAAAAATTGATCATATTTCAACAGCAAATCTCTAAATTATGAAAATTGATGTCTTTTTTGTTGCATTCGATGATTTTCATCTATTAGATTTTCACACTTTTTCCACGGTGAGATTTGGTTGAAGAAGATCAGAGAGGTGAAAGGGGAAGGTTTGCAGTGGCTTTTCCTTTTTTCTATGCATTTTTTATTTGTCTTCGTAAATTATTACTCCCTCCGTCCCATTTTGATAGTCCTGTTTCTTTTTTCACACAATTTAAGAAAAAGTAGTTAACTTTGTTGAAAAAGTAAATTTAGATTACTATTTTCCTAAAATACCCTCACATTAAATATGGTACAACTTTATGGGAACTTGAATTGATGGTAAAAAAAGAATCAACTCTCATTAAATGGGGTAGGTTTATAGTAACAACTACTTACATTGAATAAGGGTATTTTAGGAAAATTAAAATACAACTACGTTCTTCAATTGAAAAGTGGACTACAATTTAGGACAGATGAAAAAGGAATACAGGACTATCAAAGTGGGACGAAAGTAATACAAAAGAGTGGGCTTTTTCCTTCCAAGAAGGGTTTTTTTTTAAAAAACATTATTATTATGCCTTTTCCCTCCAAGAAAGGTATTTAAAAAAAAAAAATTATCCAACCCGAACCTGCAGGTAATTTTGTCTATCCATTATTTTACCAGTGATACTACTATTGTCCTTTACCTGTTAACTAACTGTCACCATTATTACTACTTGAATGCTTTGACTACGAGTCATCTGTTTGGATTGTAAGTTATTTGGGATTATTTGAGATATTTTTACTGTAACATTTTTTGTAATGTGATGTATGTGAGATAAAAAGATATTTGGAAGATAAAAAGGTGTTTTGAAAATTGTAAAGATGATACAAGCAAATAAAATTGGAGAAATATGAAGCAATCCAAACAAACCAATGTTAGGAAATAACTTGCAGAACACCACAAATGTTAGGTTAGGGGCATTTTTCACAATTCTTTCATTAAAAAAAATGATTGAAAAATTATATTTATGATGCCAGTTGAATAATATTCAATTTTTTTTTTTTGCAGATTATGCTAATTATGTGGACCATTCACACTAGTTAAATTAGTTTGTCATAATACATTAATATTTATTATATAAGTTATTTTTTAATCTGCAAATTCCATTACTATTAGATTAGTAGTTGTTTGAACAGAGCATTAAAAAAGGTTGAAGTTTGAACATTGAAGTGGCAAGAAACAGGCCTCCCTCGAACCAACAGGCAAAGAAAGACAGTGGCATCAATCAATCAATCAATCAAATAGTATAAGTAACTCGAACTTTGATGATTGAGCTTCCCCTTTGGCCCCTTTCGCCATTAATGATAGGTGGTGGCTCTGGAGGTGGAGCTGTTTTAGTCAATGGCCGGCGAAGAACCCGAAAAGGAGGATGGGGAGGAGGATGCAATAACAGTAACAGAGGCCTTATTACCTTGCCTGGATGGTGCGAAACTGGTTGATGCACCTATTCTTTTCTTTGTTCTTTCTCACAAGGCTTTTGTCAGGGAGCTTGAGCAGCTCCACCGCTCCGCCCTGGAGGTGGCTGACACTGGGTCCCCTGATCGCCAGTTTGTGGATGATCTTGGCCGGAGGTTTGACTTCTTTAAGCTTGTTTATAAGTACCACGCTGCAGCGGAAGATGAGGTGAGGACTGAGGAGGTGTTTCCATTAATTTCTTTTCTCGTTTCTTTTTATTGAGCAAAATTATATTGTGGGATTTGTTGTCATTGAACAAATGGTGTGTGTTGTTTTCCCTTTTTGTGTTGTTGTATCGTTACTTCATAAGAATGTCGAATGTGATTGTAGCACAAGGTTTTGGTTCTTTAGACAGGATTGAGGTGAAAATGTGGCGACTATGCTTGATTTTGGTAGTAGCTGTAAAGATTAAAACTTTAGTTTTCGGTGATGGAGAATCAATGTTTAGGATCCCAGGAGGGGCAATTTGATGTACTATAAAAAATGCCAATTAAGTTGCTTCAGCTCCTTCCCTGTTATTTTATCAGAAATGCCATCGGGCCATTAGGCAGAAATTCTCACATCATTGGCAATTAAGATGCAGGGTTTGCTTAAGACTTCCCTCGAGAGTCCTCGAAACTGGGTTCTATGACAATACTCGCCGAACGAACTTCAATTCCTTAACCTGGTAATAGAATGATTGGCGTAGTCTATGTACCAAACTTACTGAGGCACCAAAGTTTCCCCAGAGGATTTAGACTATTTCAGTGTTTTACTCACTTGTGAAATATTGGAAGAAAATTTACCAAAACATTTTAGATATGTCCTGAAATGTATTGTCTTACTGAGAAGCTGAACACAATTTTGACTGGAAATATATTGAGCTAGACACAGCAAGCATCAAATAACGAGTACATTTCCCTTTCTTTTACTTTATTAGCACTAATCTGGTGAGATTCTCCTGATCAACTTGATCTTTTTCTATTCTTTTTCCTTATCATGCAAGAAATAAATTTGTTAAACGTTGAGTTCATCAATTATTGTGGAAATTTTTATCTGGAATTTTTGGCAGATTGTATTTCCAGCTCTAAATAGCAAAGTAAAGAACGTGGTGACTACATCTGCATTAGAACATAAGTGCATCAATGATGACTTCTGCTCCGCAGTCCAGTGCTTGGATCTTTTAAGAAAAGAGTGTGAAGATTTTACCCATCTGTTTCAAAAACTCATCTTCTCCATCAGCTCTATAAAGTCCGCTATCTGCGAGCATATGCTGAAGGAAGAAAAATTGGTATTTACTACTTCTCCTTTGTATACTTCCAATTTACATGTTGTTACTTCTCTGATTTTTATGCTTTGATCAACTGGATTCTGTTTCTCCTTGCTCTTTCCTTTTTCTCTTCCTTTCCTTCCACTATGATACTCCTACATTTTGAATTTCTGGAAATTATTAAACCATAAGCATAGTCACGCAAAATGACTCGCAATCGATACCATTCTAACCAAAAGATTGGCAAGGTCATACGAAATTTCTTCAGCATGGCTAGATTTAAGAAGGATAACGAGACATTCTCTTTGTTGTCTCCCATCAAAGAGAGCTCCAAACTCAGTTAGGACTTGAAACAAGAAAAAAAGAAGAACATATGTTTCACTACTCTCTCCCCATGCTCCTTGAGATCCATAGCTGAGATAAAATAGAAAATTTAGGCAATCTTTGTCTAAGATAAACCCCATTACAAGTTGCTAATGGTCCACTTCATGCAGAACTTTGTGGGATACTCGACATGATGCAACCTAGCTGTATCTGAAAACATATATGAGAGCACACAACTTTATCAAGTAAGCCATAAAATAGGAAAGACCATCAAAATTAAACAGTAATTAAAACATGTTCTCTAGTATAAATGAAAATTAAAGGAGTACATAATTGGTGAGATGAAGATTATTTTATATTGCATTGGAGTTATGATGATATTGTCTCTGAAAGGTATTTAAACAATTTTCGAATGCACTGACTTGTATGTGCATAATTTTAAAGAAAACCAGGAGGAAGTGATATGTGAGAATTTTGCAATATCTGGGTGACTGATGAGACTTAAACACCATCTTCACCCCTTTTTAGCTGAGCCGATGCTTGATTTTAACCAACATAAAGAAATCTTAACATGATCTGCTGTCTTTATCTATGCTAAACTACATCCAGCTTAATATTCTTATATATTCAGACAAATGAAATGAAAGCTAAGGTAGAGTGTTTGAGTTGTGGGTTGCAGGAATAGATGGCCTCTGCAGAGTGTTATTTCGCTTGTTTTACTCTACTAGATGAAGTTTAATAATAGTTTTAATTTGAAGGTGCTTTTAGCCCCCAGAAAGTTATTGACTAATCAACTTATCAGTAAATTAGTCTTATTACAGTCAAATATCTCAGTTCCTTGGTTTCTTGCAGCTGCAGTTTAACTACACTGAATTAGCCGCATAATGGTTGCAGGTTTTTCCTTTGGTGATAGGACAATTCTCTTCTGAAGAACAGGCTAAGCTTGTTTGGCAGTATATCTGCAGTGTTCCTATTGCTTTATTGGAAGATTTTCTGCCGTGGATGGCTTGTTCTCTTCCTCCAGATGAGAAACTAGACCTTCTGGATTGCATGAAGATTGTTGTATCCAAGGAAGAAGTGCTTGAAGAGGTAGACAATAACATTTAGCTTCAAGATCATAGTCTATAATCCCAACTTGATGTATTGATTTCCATCTTAAAGGTGGTCATCTCTTGGCTTAATAATAAGAAACCTTCTCCTCCTGGAGCCTGCAATGTCTATGGACAAGGAGCTCAATTTTACAGTGGACACGTTAGCTCCATGGAGATACTCAAGATACATCCAAATACATTTGATTTTGGTGAAGAAGAAAAATCAAAGCTCTGTTCCATTTACACATCTATAGGACCAAACCCACTTGATGGCATTTACATTTGGAATACTGCTCTTGCAAGAGATTTCAGGAAAGTTCTGGATGAGTTATACCAAATAAGAAGCTTGAACAACATGTCAAACTTGTCTTCCATAGTAGTTCAGCTACAATTCCTTTTAGATGTCCTTATCTCCTACAGGTAACCTCCATATTAATTGATAGTTCCCAATAAGCAATTCTGCTCAATCAGGAGTGGTCTCCAAGTTATTGTTATATCTTCTTTAAATCAATTAGACCAAGAAGATAAGCTTAAGTTTGGATGTTGTTGGCTGTTCCAAAAGTATGTCAGTCCTTTGCTTCAAATATTCTACTCAGCAGCGTGAGAAGCTGTAGTAACTGTCACATGCAGTATATATTCTTTCTGAATTGAAGTTATGCTGAAATGCCCATTTACCTCAGAGGCCTTTTTAGTTGCTGAAACTTTTCATGAAGAACAATGAGATGAAAATATTCTTTTGCATTGTGACAAAACTAAAATTGTTTGCTGAAGGTTTGACGCATGTTCAGAAATACCTTTTAATCTTCAATGACCAGATATTTTTCTAATACTAGAGTTTAATCTGCAGCAACGCATTGGATCAAATATTTTTTCCCCTGGTAAATGACCTTTCCAAGAATGTCCTACCATTATCTTGCACACGACTTGTGGAGAAAGGTCAAGTCGAAAGGCTTCAATTCTTGCTGTACGGAGTGCTTCAAGATGGAGCGCAACCAAGCAATTTCCTGAAGGGCCTTTGCAGGGAAGTGGAGTTGCTTGTGAGAGGAATTAGCAAAAACCTGACACATATAGAAACAGAGGTATGATGTTGTGTCAGTTCCTCTAATGTAAAAGCCTGAAGATGGAGGAAAAAAAATCTTGGAAAATAATATTCATCTTCTCCACTTATTTCTAGCAATGGCAGATTAGGGCATCAGATAACAGACTGTACTAAACCATATCTTTTTGGACAACCAATAAACTTCTGCCTGCTTTTATTTGTAAGAAATACGTATCCTCCTTTATGAATTTAACTCTTGTTTTTAGTCACATACAGGTATATTCTTCTATTGGCAAGAAGTGCAGCCATAATATGCTGCTGTGGCTGTTATATGCAGGTCTCAAAACTATGCCTCTTGGGTTGTTAAAATGCACTGTTCTTTGGTTTTCTGCTACTTTATTGGATGAGCAGTTCAAGACCATGCTGGACGCCATGACAGATGCATGCCCTTTAGGCAACAAGCCAATTTTAATTCTGTTGCATAGTTGGGTTCGCATGGGTTATTTAGGTAAAATATCCATGGAAAGGTTTGCAAAAGATCTGCAAGAAAATTTTATCAGAGGAATCTATTTCACATCTGATCGAATTGGGGAGGATGTTGGGTTTGCTAATTTAAAGTTTGATATGCAAGCCTGCACTATATTTAACACCATAGAATCTGAGCCGAGCCCTGCTGTAAAAGATAACAAGATGGTCTGCAACCCCTCATCTTCTCATTCCAAAACCAATGAGAAGCTTGAATCTGGTGGAATGACTCTTCATAAATTCTCCCCTCAAATGTGGAGCAATATTCTTTCTGTTGTGAGACATCCTGCTGAGAATGGCATTGCCAAAAAAGTTTTGGCTCTAGAATTAAGACCAATGGATCATTTTGTGTGCTTTCACAAAGCTCTCATAAGAGATCTGGACTACATTGTCTTTCTTTCAGCTAACATGGCCAAAAGCTTTCAGTTTATCCCTGATTTACGTAGACATTTTGAACTTCTAAAGTTTCTGTATGACATTCACAGTGCTTCAGAGGATGAGGTTGTCTTTCCGGCTCTAGAATCAAAGGGGAAACTCAAAAACATTACCCAGTCTTACACCATTGACCATAAATTGGAGGAGGAAAACTTCGCCAAAGTTTCATCTCTGCTAAATGACATTGCCACCCTGCATGATGATCTAGACAAACCGGGTGAGGGAAGTCTACAATATCGACAGATGTGTTTGAAGCTCCATGAGACTTGCCTGTCTATGCAGAAAATAATCTCGGGGCATATTCATCGTGAAGAAATTCAACTTTGGCCTTTATTTGGAGAATACTTTTCCACTGAGGAACAAGAAAAGATGTTAGGGTGTATGCTTGGCAGAACTAGAGCTGAAACTCTACAAGAAATGATACCCTGGTTGATGTCAGCTTTAACCCAAGATGAACAACATGCCCTGATTTCTCTGTGGCGTAGGGCTACAAAAAATACCAATTTTGAACAATGGTTAGGAGAATGGTGGGAAGATATGAAAGATTATTGTGTTGCTAAGGATGAAGAAGAATCCTCTTTTCCTCCTTCCTTGGCTGCTAACCCTCTGGAAGTTGTCTCAGTGTATCTGGGGGAACAAACATGCAGAGAAAGCAAACTTTCAGGAAAAGAAGTTTCTGATAACAATGCTGAGCATTCTGGGTATATATGTCCATATTCAAAAGATTTCAAAGGTGGTCAAAACAATGATAAATATGAAGATCTAGTCAACTGTGGTGAAGAACTTGATAAGAAAACTGATCAGCAAATTGTTGATGATCAAGCTGATAAAGCTGGACAAAACATTCAGGCGTGCCATGATGAGCATCCACTGGAATTAAATCAAAAGGAGCTGGAAACTGCAATAAGAAGAGTGTCCCGTGATCCTACATTGGATTCTCAGAAGAAATCACATATCATCCAGAGCCTGATAATGAGGTAATCATGTGAAAGTTATCCTGTTTTCTCTGATCAACTGTTCTTGAGGGAATTATGGGACATCAAAAGTTAGGTCAACACGTATCTATATCCTATTTGTGATTGTGCATGTGATAAGAAATGATTATAGAATTAGATAGGTCTCAAGTTTATTATGCACATGTACTCTAGCATGTTTAGGCCCCTGAATATTGTACAAGATTACAACATTTCAATGTAATTTCTGCAATCGGATTCAGTCCTCAGTTCCATGAATCATGTGGCATCTGCTAAATTTTAAACTAGAAAAGCCGCATCCTGTAGGGTAAATGGGATATCCAAGCTATCAAATACGAAAGCTCTTGCAAGATTGATTTCACTTAGGTCAAAACAAACTTTGTCGTTCATCAAAGGAACAGGTTTTGATTTCCTTGAAGTTGGAACTAAGTAGCATCTTCAAATTAAATGGCATGACCTAAGTATACGTGGTACCATCAAGGTACAACATTTGTTTTCCATTTAGATTTGATGTTTACACGTGTTGAAAGTAGCCAATCAGCTGAACTATTTAAGCTTAAGTTGCTATATCCTGGAAAGTTGTTACTATAGGCTAAAAACTTTTCTTGAAAGCATGCTAAAATTTCTTCTTCTTCTTGATAATTGGAATTATTCTGCTTGTTGATATCACAATTGACTGAGCTTGCATTGTGTGTTTCAAGCCGTTGGATTGTAACACAACAGAATTCGAACACGTTGAGTGCTGCGGCTAATGATAGAGAAGAAGATTTTGGCCAGTATCCATCTTATCAGGATTCTCTCAATGAAATTTTCGGCTGCAAGCACTACAAACGCAACTGTAAACTTCTTGCTGCATGTTGCAGCAAACTGTTTACATGCATAAAATGTCATGACGAGTTCACGGATCATTCTATGGAAAGGTTTGAATTGTTTATTTATATATTTGTACTTCTTCATTATTGGTTTTTCTTACTGTATTTATTTACTCTTTCTATGTCATGCGTGCAGAAAAGCTATTACAAAAATGATGTGCATGAAATGCTTGGTAATTCAACCAGTTGGCCCAAAATGCTCAAACAATGCTTGCAATAATTTTCCAATGGCAAAATACTATTGCCCAGTTTGCAAACTATTTGATGATGAAAGGTGAGATAATCAGAATGACGTGCTTCTAGTAGATAAGATCATAGAAAAAGTACCACATTGTTAGTTGTGAATGACTACAGTCACGCGTTGTGTTTTGATTGTCAATTGCAGAGTTGGGCCAACAGTTATCCAGTACCTTCCAGATTGGCTTAACTTGAAATCACTCAGTCTTTTTCCTCTCATTTTCACTATTTTTTCTGATGCAAGTATTAAAATGATATCATTTTTTCTTATTGTAATTTACCAATTGGGTCCAAAAAGTTCATACAATCTTTTATCCAGCATGCTCTTTTATGTGCATGTTAGCATCTACTTCTGTATATACTATCTATTCTTTTCAAATCTTTTGTATGGTAGGGGCCAGGGGGAAGGTGAAAGTACATCATACTTGTAAACAATACACTGGGACAAGGAATTATATGTTCTAACTGAAGTAATTCTCCATGAATTATTTGTTATTTTAAATATTTTTTTAATAAATTGAATTTCAATAGGTTTTGCCTATATTTCCAAGTGCTTCAGCTATTAGCAACTTGGTTTTGGCTTGTCAGTCGTTAGTAACATTTTGGGGGCAATGCAAACTAAAATTGGTACTGATTTACTTTGCTATTGTAGTTTATATGCTATAAGTAACATTCAACATTTTCCTGGAATTTATACATATTAAAATTATATTTATTTTGTTAGACTCAAGTTACTAACTTGTGTCATTTTAGTAGGTTCTTTAATTTATGTTTCTTGTCACATTACATGAATGTCTCACTCATGAGAAGCGTAGTCAATGGATGGAGCATGTATGGAACTTTGTCGTGATCATCATAGCCTCGGCGTTTTTATACCTGATTCTTTTCATCTTGATTTATTCCTTGACTTTGTTAGAGCTGAATTATGGGTTATTGAATTTGTGAGATTCATTGCCTCTTGATGATTTTTACCTTGTTCCTTCTATCTTTTTCTACAACACTCTTGCTTTCTGTTTCCTTTCCTTTTTCCTGATTTATCACCTACCTATGATTTTTGATAGATATCTATATTACCGTACCATGGCTTTGATAGCTAATCACTTGTAAATGTCATAGGATAAACTTGCACCATATTAGAATGGATCTTGAAGCATTTTGTTCTTTATTCTATCGATTTTGATTTCATGGAAATTTTAGTTTCTTGTTGGTTAAATTTACAAACCAATACAATTATGGAGTAACTAAGGTTTGGAATTTAGAGTTTCTAAGATTTGTAATTTTAGGACAACACATTGATGCCATTTGATGAGTAGTTTGAAGATGCACCCTCTCTTATTCTTAGCTGATATCAGATCTTGTGATCGTGGATCATTATTACATATCTTTTTTTTTTGTTTTGTTTATGTCTTGTTTGTAATCAATACTGACTTTTACAGATTCGGACAGGAAAATTTATCACTGCCCTTATTGCAATCTGTGCCGAGTTGGGAAGGGATTGGGTATTGATTACTTCCATTGTATGAATTGTAATGCTTGCATGTCACGGTCTCTTTCCGTGCATATCTGCAGAGAGAAGTGCTTTGAGGACAACTGCCCAATCTGCCATGAATACATTTTTACCTCAAGCTCTCCAGTCAAGGCACTTCCATGTGGTCATTTAATGCACTCAGTATGTTTTCAGGTATCTGTCTCATGTACAGAATTCTCTAAAGATCAATTAAAGATTCTTCACTGCTGAGACGCTTTTTCTGTTGAATCAAGGAATACACATATACTCATTATACCTGCCCAATTTGTAGCAAGTCACTTGGGGACATGCAGGTTAGTAGTTATTTCCATGTATTACTTCTGCTAATGCAGTTTCCTTTAGCTCTGGTGCTTATTAGGAAATCCATTTTGGAGAGTATATATGGTCCTTTTCGGCATGTTGTGTCAAATTCTACTACATGCAGGTGCATTCATATAGGTTACTTTACATGGTAGACTTGTTACACTAAATGACACTGATCTTGTCCTGTTGACCTGGAAATATTCTAATAATGCTTTAACAGTTCTAGAATCCAAGATGGATAAGAGGACCAATGTTGTCTTTCAACCAAAAGTTGATCTCTACTAGAACGCTTCATAAGTGGTACCCTTGTTTAATGAAAACCTCGAGTTTTCATCTAACCCATTACAAAGCAACAAATCTTAAAGGCATAGCACAGTCCTGATTTTCGAGTAAACTCGTACTGATGCATACAGGATAATAGATGTGTCACATTCTGTGAAGTATATAACTTAATTAGTTTCCATTGAGTTGGAGGATTTAGCATACTAGCATCCAATTATGGTCGATTTAAGTAACAGTAATAGGCTTAATAACATTTTCCTACCTTCTGTTTCGAAAACATCTAGTGTTACTTTGATGCTCTTCACAAGGTAATGCCACTTTAGGAGTATGGGTTTGCATTTGTGATTAAGTCATTGGTTACCACATCTTCCATTTACCTGCTTTTAGGTTTATGACAAACCTGATGTGTTGTCATGATAATTAGGTGTAATTCAGTAAGCATACAAGAGTTTCATGTTTTAACATCATGATGATTGAAATTTCTTATTGATATGCTACTAAATGGCCTTCAGTGGACATTGCTTTACAGCAACTGTTGACCAATATACAATACCTTGTGGTAGAGCGTCAGTATTTCCTACGCTTTGGAACACTTACCAATCTGCTTGTTCCATCTCCAATCTACATTAGGTGAATATTTTACCTTCCGAGTGTCTCTTCTCTTATGCATCTTTAGGTCACTGTTAGTTAATAATTTGGAAGTGATTGACTGTCAGGTATCACAGCCCTTGTATGCCAGCCTTAAGCACCAGAATGATCAACCTATGACTTTTATTTAAATGAATTACAAGTGAAGAATCAGGAAACAACGTTTATTTGTTTGCATTCAGGTGTATTTTGGAATGTTAGACGCACTATTAGCTGAAGAGCAAGTTCCGCAGGAGTATTCAAGTCGAATTCAGGTTGATCATCTATTATCTTATTCAAGATGCTAGTTTATCATCCAAACGTTGCCACGTTAGTAAGTCCTGATATTGAAATTTGTTATGATTCACAGGTTATTCTATGCAATGACTGTGAAAGGAAAGGAAATGCTTCCTTCCACTGGCAGTATCACAAGTGCCCTCATTGTGGTTCATACAATACCAGGCTTCTATAAGCCAAATACACAGTGAGTGTGTGACAACTGATCTGACAAAGCTGTAATACAATTTAGCCCGTTTTATACAGATAAGAAATTATTACTTGCCTTGCATTATTTTAATAGCTTGAAGAAACTAGGAATTGGCACATACTCTGTCTTCTCATTTTCCTAAAGAAATTTGATACTGTCCTAGACTTTGCATCATCATCATTTCATAAACAATAAGTAATATTTTAAGTTTGAAATTCCTTATTCTCTGAAGCTACCAATAGCAAGACGTCAACTCCATTAGTGATGCTTTTCTGCCCATACACCTCATTACTGCTCTAAGCTGAATGTTTTGGTAAAAACAGTATGAGCATGGGCAGGGGGAGCAAAGATATTTTTTCATTGGGGACAAAGCTAATCTAATGTATATTTATGTGTTTATACACATTTTATCAGTAACAAAATATAAAAGTTTAATAATGAAATACTTGTAGGAAAATGAAATGTATTAATCACTTGAGATGAACTAAACAAGTATGATCTTCACAAAAAGTAAAAGTTAAATAGCTACTTGTAGAATCTGAATATTGAGAAGTTATTTTGTTCCAAGTATTTTTTGTTTTATTTTTGGTCTATGAATTGACTGGAGAAAGTGAAGTACATCGGAGATAAAAGAATAGAAAAGACATTTCATGCTGGGGGAAGTAATAAAAGTTGCATTACACCATGGTCTAGTTTTCTTGATTTGAAGTCATTTGGCTGTTACTAGTGTAAATCTTCAGATTCTTAAGAGAAAGCATGAAAGTAACTAACTCAGAAAACCGTCTTGTATCATCATCTCAGAACAATAGTTTGATTCTCACCATGTCCATACTCTCTTCTTACTTCTGTTACCCCAATCCCCTCCCCTTCTAGAAAACAAATTAAATGACATTGTAAAAGAAGGAAACAGTTTTAATCCACCAAGCTCATAACTTCTAAGAACTATCATGAGAAACTTCTTTTCGGGTTTTCTTTTGCAATACAAACTCAGATCAAATGCATTCGCTGGCTGCACTTTTAATCACTGGCAGGGATTTTTATGTACTTTTTAAATTATCAAACAGCCAACAAAGTATGTGTAACAGGAGGATGCTAAGTGGATCAGTAAACCTTCAAATATTTTACTTCACAACAGTAGGTGAACCTGATATATTCAGCAATTTAAAATGTAATTCTAGAAGAAAGAAACAGAGGAAAGAAATAATTGGAACAGTGAAGAATGACCGACCTATTAATCTACTTGTGAGTGCTGCTCTCCTTCAAGGACTTGGTAGCTGGGGCAAGTTAAAATCTAGTGCTTTTTGAGTGTTTATTTAGGTAAGGGTCATCATTTGATTGACCTCAAGCGTGAGATGCAGGTTTAATGAATAGCAACTACTTTACACAAAAGTAATCCCAAGGTAATAATCACCTTCTTGTATTTTAAGTTCCCCATAATACTTTAAACCATACTATGATCTTCCCTATTTACCCATTCTTAATTTGTGTCACTGGTATTCTTTGACTATGTCAATCTATCTCAGTTAAATCTTCTATTCCTAAGATAATTTAGAGGGTTAATCATCCAACCTAAACCTCTTAAAGTTTAATAAATTGGATTATTTTCAATTCAAAATGATTTGTTATAGATTCTTGGATCCTGTATGGGGATTAAGACCCTTCAGATTAAGGCTTAGCTGACACTGTAATTGAATAGTCTTTGAATTTTAGGTTATTTTCAACATTTTTGGTCCAGTTACTTTCAGTAGCTTTGTCAGCTATAGCCATATTACAGAATTATCTGTAGTTGGTAGGTTTTTGCTGCTCTAGACAACATTTTTCACAGTACATTTTGATGACATTCTACCCGATATCAGCTATTATGTGCAGGCTTCATGATAGGAACTGAAAGCTTTTAGCAGTAATTAATCTTGAAGAAACACTAAACTAACAAAGAGCAGTGATCACATGTCCTAGCTTTCACAAACGTTGGATTCTGAGAAGGTTCATACCTTTATCTGAAACTCAAATCTGTATTTTGTTGTCTTTTGGCCGTCCGTTTGTTTTTGCGTTTAAGTTTGCTTTGGCCATCAGGAGTTGAAAAGAAAGAGATCCGCTTGCAATTCAGAAAAGACCTAGATAGTGTACGAACTAAAACATTGAAGCTCTTTATCAGAGCTACTAAAGTGATTCATTTGGATTTGGGGTGGTTGTTTAAAACTAGAACGGTGGTTTTGTCCATTCAAGAGTTCAAATATGCATCGTCATGAATAATGGCTTCGCTCATCATTTGCAAATTAATCTGCACAGAGTTGATCACATTCCTAGTTGAGGGGAGGACACAAATACTCCTCTGTTCTGAAAGTGCAGGTTTACAGAATGAATGACCAAATCATTTCCTACTGAAACAACTATTAAGTATTCAAAAGAAAGAAGTTGAAGTAAAAGAGAAATGATGCAATTTAACATAACGTACTCTGTGAATATGTGAAATAACATGTGCAGAATACAGGCACCATAGTCACAAGTCTACTCTCTGGTACCAGTTACTCCACACTTTCCATGGTGTTCTGCAGTATTAATTAACGCTGGTAAGACTGAAACACGCCACAGCACTCTTCAACTCATTCTCAGCTACATGCTCAACAGATTGTGTTGTATCCTTCAATGATGATTCAGAGCTGCAAATTCATAGACACCTCATGATGAGACCAAATAGAAATGTTCTTTCTTGTAAAATCTGAATCATGCTCTCAAAATTGATTGATAAAACGACATAGCGATTCAGTGTGTTTATTTACCTCGACTCATATGCTTCCTTTGAAGCAATATAAGACTGTCTATCATCAATTGTATCAAAGAATGGGTGCATTTCATCATAATCTTGTGTGCCACAATCTTGTTGGATTATTAAGGGCTGCGAGTTTATCAACTGGGATTGCATAACCATTGGATTGCTATTATTAATATTACTACTGCTATTGTTGTAGGGCGGCTGTTGAACCCATAAAGAGTTTACAGCATTGTTTTCCTTGGAATCCATGTAAGTTGCATTGTAATTGGCAGCGTTGGCGCTATTGGAGGAGTAAGTGGGTTGTGATCCAATGGGCAGTGCGGATACGGTATTGTCATAATTTTGGGGAGCATCCTGGTGAAAATGCGACAGGGCATTGCTTGGAGGCGCCATTCCTAAGTGCAATTGCGATATAGAATCAGTCAATCCAGTTGACACCTCTTGTTGCTGATGTTGTCGATAGAGAGCCAATTGTGCATGAATAGCTTGAAGTTCCTCCTCGGCTAGTTGAATTTGATACCACAATTGTTGTATGATTCCTAAACATCCGTGGACAGGATACTTATCGCGTATATTTGATTGATAGATGATGGACTTCATGGCAACCAACTTCTGGCTGGGGTCTAGCTCTCTCAGAATCTTCAAGATGTTGCTCACGCCAAAAAGCTTGTGAGCATTCTGGAACATCTTAGGCTGATCAGCCGGGAAGTATGGCGCGAGTGGGCAGTCAGCCGTGCACCTCCTCCTCTGATACTTGCAGGCAGCGCAGGCTTGGCTGGTGCCACCTTTGAGGGTCATCTCATCTCAAAGAAATGTGTGACAAAAATAAAGAGTATTCATGTAAAAAAAATATTGGAGGTGGGCTGAGCCAAAAGAGATGGCAAAAAAAATAAAAAAAAAAAGAAGAAAGGAATTGCTCTGCTTAGATAAGATAAAAGGAGTGTTAGTGCTGGTGTTCAAAGGAAGGAAGACAGAAGCCACAAATGGCAACATTGATCTCAACTGAACTAGTCTGCTGATATATGCGGATTTTGCTGCAAGACTTGGTAAGATAACAGATTGAGGGAGGGAGACCCGAAAATGCTGGGGTGTTTCTTTCAACCGGTTAATTACATATACCTCCCTTCAGTTTTTACCAAACTACCAAAGAAACCCTGAGGTTTGGCTAAATAACCAACACCCCCTTTAAGTAACTTCTGTCAAAGTATCTTGGACGGAATCAGTGAAAAGATCACTTGCCCACAAGTGTTGTAAATTTGAAATTCTTCAATGCCATTTTATAGTTTTAAGAAATTCATTTTTCTTTTTCTTTTTTTTCTATATTTATTTTCACCCCCTTCTAACTAATTTTAAAGCTTTAGACTACCATTCATAATGATTAGAACCCAAATGGAAGCAACAGTTGCAGCAGTCCAACCAGATCCGCCATTCTCCACCACCGCTGCCATCTCTAGCAACCATTTTCCATTGGTGTCTTTTGGTTGAATTTGCTCGATGGGTTCAAAATTTGCAATTACATTAAAACTTTAGCCTCATATTTGACAAAGAGTAATTGAAAAGCTACCAAAAAATTCCAAATCAATGGCAGATCTTTTTTTTCTTTACCATCCAAGATCATCATCCATATACAAGGGAGTAATCCTTATGGAAAATATAACACAAATCAACCAAAGAATTAGAAAAAAAGAAAAGCGAAAACATCAATGGATTCTCTAATCAAAACCCAATTACCCAAAACATCAAAACCCATTTCATTTTGAATCCCCATGGCCATATTCCATTGTCATTAGCATCATAAAACGACCCAAAACTAGATTTCGGACTTTAACGCAAAATGAGAAGTTCTCAGCATGTACATCAAAGTAATCGGAAATGACGGCATCAAAGATTGGGAAGTAAGGATCGATGAGAGTCTCTCAACCCATTTCATTTTTCGCTCAAAATCTTCCCATCGCAAGCCACTGCCAAGGAATCTCCGAATAGTTAAACAAACTGATTGGTTAACATTTGGTCATCATTAGATGCTTCATTGGCTTTAGCCTCACCGAAATGAGTAAGCAATATGCGTAAAGGCAATGGTTTTGTATTTGACAAATGGTTTTTTCTATTTTGACTTCTTTTTTCCTTTTTTCTTTTTTTGAAGAAAAGCTAAGAGCTAGGGTTATTTTGGTAAATATAAAATTAATTTGTAGCCTTTCTCAGTCACTACCATGGTTCAAAGTCGCAATCGCGGCCCGGAATGTACCACATCCGTCTCGACATATTGGTCGCGGTCTCGGTGAGACGCAAATTTTAAAGCATTTAATATTCTAAAAATTGTAAATAATATAAAAAAAAGTATGCTAAACAAAAATAATAAAAAAATAGCAAAAGAAAATTTGTAAAATGTACTATTTTTATACATATTAAACACAAAAAGTACTTTTAATTATTTAAGACAATGGTATCACAAATAAAATCAAAATAACATAGACCACAATTTTAAAACTAATAATTGCAAAAGTAATATCTACCATTAACAATGCAAACTAAAGATTTATTTATAGCATAAAGTTGGAATATTTTGATCAATCTCCTGCCAAAAATAAAAAGAAATCATATTAAATAAAAGGTAAATATATAAAAAGATATACTAGTACTTTATATTATCGTACCTATAAATACCAAGTAGAATGACGATGTGGTTCAAAATCACCCTCATTTCTCGATGAATGGTAAAACAGATGTAGAAGTGGCATAGGACCTTGAGTAAATAGTGTATAAGAGTTATCTAGTATATTTACTGGATGTGAGAATTAACTAGATGTTACATAATCATTAGACGAAAGAACTTCTGAATTAGAGATGAATTGCTGAGTATGATGGCAGTATCCAAACCCTCGATAGTTAACACTATCGCTGGAATCAAAAGAAGAACCATCATGAGATTTATCTATTTCTTTTTCATAGTATCCACTATCATGAATGCTAGTAGACCTTTCAACCTGTCTAGATCTATCAAATGGCCGATATCCACTGTAATAGTTTGGAGTTATTCCATATGATTGGTCATAGTCATATCCCAATTGACTAGTACTGTAGTTTTGACTAGATTATGCTCATAGGTTGGGTGTATACCCAAATTTTGTATCTGATCATTGACTCCTCTATATTTTTGTGACCCTGAATGGTGAGAGAAAGTATCCTCACTTGAAAATTGAGTTAAATTATTGAGAAATTGACGTTGTGCTTCTATACCAGGATGATAGTCATGATCAGTATCTTGAGTGGCATAATAATTATTTTGTCCTTGAGCCCATGACATACCTCCTGTTTGTTGGCTATCTTGATTGTAACCACCACTATACTTGAAAGAATTGTTCCCTCCATCTCCATTGTCACCATTGTCATCATCATCATTACTGCTGTCACTTTTATTTGAAAATGATGGAACAATATGCTTACTGGTTTGTTTAGTCTTACTTTTTTGTTTCCTACTTGAGGATTCAACAAGACCTTTCTTATTTTTTTTGGTAATATATTGGACAATGTATCACCAAAATCATCATTGTCATGTTCTTGATATTTACTGCTTTCTGATTTAGTTTGATGAATGCCCTTATCCAACCAATCCAGATTATCTTCAGGCAATATGGGTTGTTCATTTTCTCTTATCCAATCATCCAATATATCATCTTGGTGAAAAATGTGATTCAAGTCAATTGGGTTATAGAAATCATCAGTATCTCTTTGATGCATCAAATTTTTCACTTTTAATCGCATATTGTAATGCACAAAAACTAATTTATGCAATTTTTTAACTGCCAAACGGTTATGTAGTTTTGTATGAATTAATGACCATGTACTCCAATTTCGCTCGCAACTAGAGAATGTGTAGGTTTGACTCAATATTTTCACTGCAATATTTCTTAAATTTGGCGCATCTTCTATAACGGCCCCACCTCCCCCTGGGTGTACCCTAGGATTTAGCGGATCGTCTGCCCAACTCTCGCTAGGACTCACTCACTCGTATCACGTGCATACAACCGTCGACAATAAATAACATCGCAATTCACACTTACAATTTACATCGATGCATATTCAAAATACAAAGCCTCTATATACCCAAACGGATTCAAAGTGTATACAATCCAAGCACAATCATCCTAATCAAGTGATGGCGCGAGTACAAGTCAAAAGTCAAAAACAACTAGTCTACGCTAGTCTTTACATATCTCACGTCTCGCTCGTACCCCTGTAAGGAAAACAAATGGAGTGGAATGAGCTAAAAGCCCAGTGAGGTTCCAAATAGCAAATTGTCCATTATTTATAAGTACAAGTTTTTTGATATAGCAAAGTAACGAGCATGAAGAGTTCATAAAAGTGAGCAATAACACGTCAAGTAGCAATCTCAAAATGAGCGAATGTAAAAGTTTTTCAGAATAAACAATAATCCAATAAGCAATAATCATTCCAAAGTATAAGGATACGGATGGCTCTCAGGAGCCAACTTCCCATTTCATCATCAGGAGCTTGATCACGTAATAGTTGACACTCCGTCAACTTTCAAGTAAAGGAACCAATCCAGTAGAGCACCACTTACTCTACTCTCCGTCCACCATTCAAACCCCCTACTGGGTCCAAAATTCTCAATAAATACGGGTGATAATACTCGAGTATACCGATTAGTCGAGAAGATATCACTCCACTCGACAATCAAGAGACCCAGGGTTCATTACCCAATCGATCAAGCCCTTGTCGGCTCGACTCGAGTAACTTGCCACAAGGTTTCTGGAATTCCAAGAAGTGCGCACAACATAAACAAGTATATCAATTCAATTTCAACAATAAACAAGTATATATCAAATAAGGGCAAGTGCGATAAAGTACACTCTTGCCCGATCAAACCAATCATATATCATTTAATCATATTGATCAAGTATTGGAAACAAGTGTTCAGTTCAATCAGGTATTTGGAAGCACTCACCAAAATGAAGTGCCCCTAGTAATCACGTCTGGGTTATACTCCGGGTTCGGAGTTCAAATCTGCAATAAAACTTTGTTTCAGAACTTTAAAAATCAACTAAGATTCGAAACGTAGACGTTTCGTTCAATAAGAATCAAGACATGAAAATTCACTTGGAGAATATTCGTGAAACACTCGCTCGCTTTTCAAACTATATAACTTTGTAACATTTATACTTGGAAATACCATTTGAGTCGAAAGTACAAGGAAAACGTATTTCCAGTAGTCATGGTCGTATTTCTCAAGGGTACAAGTTCGGCTAAATCCTTACTTATATACCTCGGTAAAAGAAGACGCAAATATCCTAGGTGGTTCAAGTGATATTCATTGATCAACTTTACCCAAGTCACAAGTATATTTCTCTAGTTCTCGAGCGTAAATTTGGGCAGCATGCCCTTTGTATTTACCTAATTTCCAACCATTTTTGGCTTCATTATTTTCCTCATTCGACCCCAAAGTCATACACAATATAAATTCATCACAATAGCCGTTCAATAGGCTCAAGATAATACAAGAACAAAAATCAAGCTAACAACAAGTGCGAAAATGAAGTTTAACAAGAGACAGATTTGACGGGTTTTTGCGGAATGGACACATCCGAGGCTACGCTTATCGGATTAAGGTACAATTTATACCGTTTCGAAACTAAGACGAAGGCCTACAATTTTCATGAAGATCACTTAGTCAAAATTCCAGTGTAACCTAGTCAAATTCCCAATTCCTTTAAATGGCAATATCTCAGGCTACCAAAATCCGTTTAAGGCGTTCTTAGAGGCGTTGAAAAGCTAAAACAGAGTACTAAAACTTTCATATTTTGGCAAAAGGCTAAATCAGCACGGATCATAGTGAATAGACACGGTCAACTGGATGAACTGTCTAAAACGGATCACTAGAAACATCCTAGGGCAGTGAGGGTATTTTGGTATTTTCATAGGCTACGTTGCTCCGATTGAGCTGAAATTTTGTAGACAACTATAAAACATCATTCTCTACAACTTTTATGTTTTATGCTAAGCCTAATTCAACCTCTAACATCATGAATTGGAACCGGACAGAACTGAAGTCAAATTTTCAAGAAATCTGGAATTTTACGGTTTCAAAGGGAACTTTCTTCATTTCTTGCTTCAATCACTACCACAATCACTTATATAAACTTAGATACAACATATACATCCATACAACAAGTATAGACAGCAAATACCTCAAACCCTAACTCATGTAACTTAAGAAAACATACACTATATCCATCCAAATCATGATAATAGCTATCATCCACCACAAATTT